TATATTTATGATTGTTATCTCTTCCTCTTGGATTGTCTCCTTTACTAGGATATAGTGACCTCCTGTATCTCTTAATCTTGTGTTGAAATTCACTTTATCTACAAATAGAATAGCAACCCCTGCTTTTTTCTGGATTCCTTTTGCATGGAGTATTGCTTTCCATCCTTTGAGTTTCAGTGTTTGAATTTCTTTTTGAATTAAATGTGTTGCTTGTATACGCATATTGTTGAATCTTGCTTTTTGATCCATTCTTCCAGTCTGTGTCTTTTGACAGGTGAATTGAGACCTTAACATTAATGGTTTTAACTGATATGTATTGACTTATCCTTGTCATGTTATTTTCCTATTATTGGCTCCCCCTTTTTTTCTTTTTCTTGTCTAATTGTTTGCCTTTCCTGGTAGATTCCTTCTATTGAGGCTTATGGAGTTGTAGGCCTTATTATGTCTTTCTAGAATGTTCTTCAGAATATTTAGGAGTGCTGATTTGGTGGTCATAAATTTCCTTAGATGTTCTTTTTCATGGAAGTATCTAATTTCTCCATCAATTTTGAAAGGTAGTTTTGCGGGATACATTAATTTGGGTTGAAAGTTATTTTCCATTAGAAATTGGAGTATTTTATGCAAAGCTCTTCTTGACTTGAGAGTTTGTGCTGAGAAGTCAGCTGTAATTCTGAGGAATTTTCCTTTATAAGTGTTTTTTTTTCTTTTCCTTAACAGCTTTTAAGATTCTATTCTTGTGTTGAATTTCTGGAATCTTGACTATGCTGTGCCTGGATATAGACTTTTTTTTTTTGATCATTGCTAATTAGAGTTATATATGTCTCATTTATTTATGTGTCAAATTCTTTTTCTCTAACCAGAAAGTTTTGTGTCACGATGTCTGGGAACATTTTTTTTTTTTTTTTTTTTTTTTTTTTTGTGGTACCAGGGATCAAACTCACGACTTTGCAACTTGCCAAGCAGGTGATTATGCCGCTGAGATAAATCCCCACCCCTGTGAACATGTTTTGAATGTCATTTATGGTATCTTCTGCTTGTTCATTGACTCCAATTAATCTTAAGTAATTCTTTGTCTCATTTAGCAGCTGCTGGATTGATTTCTCATGGTCCCTTGCTAGTTTTGAGAAATCTTTCTTTTCCTGATCACTAACTGCAAGCCTGTGTTTAGAGAATTTTTTTTTTTGGTCTTTTTCGTTTTTATCGGTACCAGGGATCGAACTCACGACTGCCTGCTTGCAAATCAGGCGCTTATGCTGCTGAGCTAAATCCCCAGCCCCAAGCCTGTGTTTAGTATCTGAGATCCTGTCCTCACATTGGCCTAATCTACCTCGAATATTTTCAGTGGAGTTTTTATTTCCTGAACGTTTGCTTGAATCTGCCTTATGGATTCCATTTGTTTCCTGTGTTGTGCTTCCATAATATGCTTCGCATAATAGAGGGAAGTTGTCTTTTTTTCAGTGTCTCCTCTAAGATCACTAAGCATGGTATGTATTTTGGTAATCTCTGTAGTTATTTGAGAGATTATTATTTTTTTTGAATTTCTGGTTTAAAGAGAATAAAACAAAACAAAATAGAACAAAGCAGAGCAGAATAAAACAATGCAAATAGCACAGGATTTCAGAAAAAGACTGCAGGAAATCAGCAGTGGCTAAATGTCTCTTGTTTCCTTCGAAATAATTGTCGATACCTTCACACACAATAAGTTAATACAAATCAAACAGTATAAAAGCAGTCAAAACACAAGAATGAGAGCCTTAAGGGCTTTCAAGAACAGGCACTAAGAAATCAATAATGGCTACCACAATGTCTCTTGTTTTCTTCAAAATAACTGTCCGTATCTTCATTCATATTGAAATTAAATAATTGAAAACAGACTAAAACCAATCAAAACCAAGAATAAAAGCATTATTGGCTTTCAAATCAAAATGATAGGAATTCATCAATGGCTACCATGGTGTCTCATTTTCTTCAGTGCAGTTGTTCATATCATCACACATAATAAAATCAATATAATCCCTTTAGGTGACGTTCTAGGCATATATAAGCCTATATATGCACATCTATCCTTTCTGTATTAGAGGGAAGAGCAAAACAACAGATAACTAACTGTAAGACCCAAAATAACAACAGTGTAAACTTTCAAACCAAGATGGTAGGAACATAACAATTTTTGTAATTTTACATAGTTATCTTCAAAAGTTTGAGAGTTTATTTCTGATTTTTTTTTTTTTTCAGAGCCTCATTCAATTGTTTTGTTACCACTTCTGAGACATCTGGTGGGGGCTTCCGGATTTTCCAGCCTCACTGCCCCCAGGTTTGCCTTTGGTGAACTGGGCATCCGAGGTTATTTCTTGTTTAAGTGTCTTATCATTTCTTTTTTAGTTTAATTCCTGGAGTGATATTTGTTAGTTGCCTGAGGTGGATTGCTTTATTGGTGGTATTTAGGATGCCCAGGTGATGATTACTTCTTTGAAGTATCTTCCAGGTGTAGCTGGGTTTTGGGTTCTGAGTCTCTTGAAAGATCTTCTCTCTCCAGTTTGTTGGAGATAAGAAGCTATTGCTCACCTGGGTTAGTTCTGGTTCTTTGGTACCGTGTCACAGTATTCTTTGTGACCTCTAGTCAGTCTCAGTCATGGATTATCAGAGCCAACAGCTGTTTAGAATAGTTATGTCAATTTTGGCTGTAATGGTACCCATAGCATCAAATAACCTAGAAAAAAATAAACTGAGCCAACCCCTGATTTGCAACTTTTAACCGTATGAACTGAGTTTGTCATCATATAATAGAATGTAAAACAATTATGTACAGTGTATAAGTCTGTAATGGCAATTCTGTCCCCAAGGGTTAAGATGTATTAGAGGGAAGAGCAAAAAAAATGGATTAAGGAGAAACAGAAAAGTGGGAAAAGAGAAAGAGATTACAAGTGGGTTGGAGGACAAAGTTGGATCCTACCAATTTGGAGAAACTGATGCAGAAGACTGAAGGAAAAGAGAGTTGAAGAGATAAAAGAATAGAACAAAATAACACCCACACGGAGGTTAGGAACCACACTCACACTCAAAAAAGAGAAAACAAGGAAAGAGAAAGAGAAATAAACTAACTGAATAAAACAAATAAGAAAAGAGAAACCAAAAAATAGTGCACTTCAGGATTGTCTCTGGATTCACTAGACAGCCTGTGGAGACAGCATCCCGAATCGTGCCTATCCGCCAAGCCGGAAGCTGCTTTGTGGTGCAGTCGTGGACAAGCTTAGCGGGCCTGCCCTGGGACCAGACTCACTGGACTCCCCGTGGTCCAAGCAGTTCCCATGAGTCTTGGCTCAGCTAGGAGCTGCTGGTGGAAGCTGCAGCAGTTCTGGTTCTGGGTTTATCTGGCCTGTCTCTAAATGGCTCCGGGCCAATGGCTCTCTCCAGTAGGAGGACCAAGTCCTCTGCACTCACTGCCAGCCAGTACAGTCCCCCACATCCACTGCTCCCCTCCTCTCCTGAGCCTCTCTGCAGTTGGTCCTTGGGATCGCTGCTGCCATGACCACACATTCCCTGGTTCCGACAGCTGCCCTCACACAGTGAGTCTGCTCTAGGTGAAGGCACCGCCTGCTATCGTCACCTTCTTCACTGGTTTTTCTTTTTAGAGAGCCAGTTTTTCCAACACCATTTATTAAAGAGACTTCTTCCAGTGAATGTGTTTGTGGCTGGTATTTGGAGTTGTATCTGTATTTTCTTATCTGTTTCATTGATCCTTAAGTCTGTTTTATTGTCAGTGCTATGATGTTTTAAGAGGGAAAGAAAGAAAAAATAAAAATAAAAAAAAACTAGAAACAGTGTTCAAACTCATATAAAGACGAGCACAGTCAAGAAAAAAGAATGCAAAACAAAAGAAAAAACCACAAACAAAAGAAAAAAATCTACTTCCGTGTGTGTGTCTGCTGTGACAGGCAGACAAACTGGGCAAACGGAGCCAAGCTCTGAGTTGATCATTCCCAGCAAACAAGCTGTAGATTTATGGTGGGCAGTGGATAATCCCAGCAAGCCTACACCATTAGTTCCACTAAAGTTCTGGCTGATTCTGATTGTAAGGCTGGAATCCAGATTGTTCAGCCTACAATACTCCCCGTGCCTCTTGCTGGCTTGAGCCTGCTGGATTTCTCTAGGTCCCTTTACTTCCTGCTGAGTTGAGCTTGTTTGAGGACTCTGTGAGCCAGTAGATGGAGTTAGCAGTTGCTGAGGTCTGAGCTCATTTGGCCCCTCTCCACGATGGCACCTGACAAATCTCCCCTCTCTTGGGGACGACTGTGTCTGAATAACTCTTCAGGCACTGCAGTCGGCTGCATCAAGTGCTCTCTGTATCACTGGTACATTTCTCTGTGGGGGCCTTGGGGTGCCTAGAAGTTACCCTGTGTCTACAGGCTTGAGCCTCTCCTTCCTCACAGGGAGTCAGGGCTCAGGGGGAAAGTGCCACAACCCACCTGTCTTCTTTGTTGAAGTCTCTGTTCTCCCCATGTGCCTCATTCTCCCTTCAGATCTTTGCTAGGTCCCAGGGACCCGCTTCCCTCCTTCTCTTGCTTGTGTTGCTATATTCCAGCATCTGGAAAGCAAATCTCAGAAAGGCTCTTTCTCTGCTTTTCACTATCTCGCCATTTTCCCAGAAGTCTTAAAATGAATTTATATATGTATACTTTTAACTAAATTATTTTCACATATTCTAATGTTATCCTGTTTAAAAATTTCTTACTTACTTGTAACTCACATTTTTATACACAATAATAGAAACTTTCAAAATCCAAAGTAGCAAATTATACTTGTGTTTAATAAAAAATACTCTTAGAACATGTAGTAAAATATGCAGTTGTCATATGTCACTAATTATGGTCAGTTTATATCACTAATATGGATCAGAGATTTTTTTAGAAGCAGATGATAGGTCTCAAGTTCATCACATTAAACTTAAGTAAACTATATTTGCTATATTAATGAAGATATTTCAAAACCTTGTTTTCTAGGCCAACCGTATCCTGATCCTGCTCTTCCATTGCAAAAGCAAGACAGATACTACTCTAATTCTGGTAGACTGTCAGGACCAGCAGAACTCAGAAGTTATAGTATGCTTCCTTTGGATAAACTGGGTGAGAAACTATGTGTGGTGAGTGTGTGTGTGTCTGCGCACGTGTGGGGGTGTATGCGTTTAAATGTGGCAGACTGAAGACTGGAAGCTGAATGAAAGCTACTACAATCTCTACCTCTCCTTGCTTTTAAAGTGAGATTTCTTTCCTGAAACTGCTTGTTTATGTTTCTTGTTATACTGTACACAGAAGTGGCATCTAAACATATGTTGGTGCTTGGTTTGAGCAACATGGTGATGGGTTCACTAAATATACCTACGGTGGAAAACTTTTAAAGTTTTCTAGCCCATTTCCATATAAGCTGTTTAGTAAGCAGGGAAATTAGGCAGGGATATGGATGGATAAGTGAATGTGCACAAGAAAGTTAATTTAGGTACACCTCTATTATGGTTAATCAGTTACTTTGTTTAAACATTTCTAATTAGACTTATTTAGCTAGCATTTACTGAGCAGTCTACTGTCACTGTGACTTAAACTACCTCATAGGTGTTCACTAAAGTTTGGAAAGATATTATTTAGTGTAGCTGTCAAAATTTGTTAATATGAGAAAAAATAATTTTTAAAAAGCAGAAAATTAAATGCATTGTTAAGAGATTTCCTTAGGAAAATCTATTTTTGGGGAACATTATCTATTTGAAATAGTTATTTTCAAATCCAGTATATTTTGAATAATAAGCAGAGATGCAGGCCCTACATTCTAGCTTTCTTTTGTTAGTTATAATTTTTTTTTTGTCTTTTTCCTTTTTACCAGTACCGGGTATCAAACTCACGACTGCCTTTTCGCAACACAGACACTTATACCGCTGAGCTAAATCCCCAGCTCCCTTGTTAGTTATAATTAAGATAATTATTTGGCTCTTAAAATTTTTCCTGCTTTGTAATTCAACTAGAACCAAAATAATATGCTAAATTTGAGTGGTTTTTTTTTTTGTTGTTGTTGTTTGCTTTTTGGTGCTGGAACTCAAGGGCCTGGTTCATGCTAGGCAAGTACTCTGCCACTCACTGAACTGTATCCCCAGCCCTAGCACGGAATTTTTAAGTGCTCATTAGGATATACTCACTCTGCATGACATGGCATAGGATGTAAATATGGGAAGCTTTAAGATTCTAACACATTAGAGAGACAGATAACTATGTAAGTTTGATTAATGACAGTCAGGTGGAATGTTCTATAGAGAGTATGCTGTGGTTGGAGACAGAGCTCCTGGCTTGGTGAAAGATCAGAAAATTCCACCAGGAAGATGGCATTTGAATTGCTTTTGAATGAACTTGGAAAATTTACTGAGCATGAGCACAACAAAAGGAATAGCACATGTCATTGATGAATAGCAGCTATAAAGTTGAGTTATTCATCAGTTGACATGATCATTAGCAGGATTTAGTAAGTTCATGTGTGCAGAGCTCATTTTGTGAGATGGAAAATTCTGTATAAATATGTTAGTTTTAGTCTGTCAGTATATATACCTGGGCTGTTATGTTTGTGTTAGCTTAGATTCTTATGTATTCATATATTGGTTTACATCAGGATAGAGGTGAATGTGAGAAATATGGCCAAAACATTGAGTAGCACTGATGGTCAGCAAACATTTGTTGAGTAAAAAAGAATTACCTCACTTAATGTTCATGGTGATCCTATGAAGTCAGTATTTTTATTGTCCTCATTTTATGAGTTAAAAACCACAGACTTCAAAAGATGTTCAAGATGTCAGAAGTATCAGAGACCAGATAGTGCACATCTGTGTGACTCCAGAGCTGTGGTCTTGACCACTGCACTTCACTGAAAAGAAAGGCGAGTAGAATCAGCCATCAATGTACTTTCTGTAGTCATGTGTCATTCAATGCGAGGCTGTAAGAAACATGTTACTGGGGTTTGGTCAAGGGGTGCTCCTTCTGTGCCAGCCCCCATGTGCTGCAACACAGACCTCGTTAAAATAGACACCCTTTGGTGTTCCTGCAAGCCTCCTTGTGATTTATTTCTTGAGTAGGATCCCAAAAGTCCTATAAATCTGCTTAGGATTTTTACTCTGAGTAGTGTGGAGAGAGTGAATAAACAGAGCTGTTAGTACTAAAGAGCTCCAACGACCAGCAGCCAACAAAAACTGACCACAGAGACCTAGCGCCCAGCAGAGGCAACCTGCAGTGTCCAGCACAAAATGAGAGTGAGCAGCAGAGGCTGTATGGACTGTTGGCAGCCAGTGTTACCTGATACCCATTAGGACCGCTAGGATACCGACATTAGGACCACTAGGGAGCTGCACTTTGCTGATTCACAATTTCCATCTGAATTGAGCTAAGGAACCTGAGGCTGACTGCCAACACTTGGATTTGCCTTTTCTGTGAAGCCCTGGGTTATTCTGTTACCTCCTGCACCCTTCAGTCTTGATGGGTACCATAGCACCACGCATCTAGTATTAGCTTCAGTTTTATTTTTATTTATTTTTTTATTTAAGGAGAAAAAGAAAAAAATACAGAAAAAGGGTACAAGTTATACAGAATTTCAAAAAAAAAATAGGAAATCACTAGTTAATAGATTACATATTGTCATCTTAGAAATAGTTGTTCAAGTTACAAAGTTAAAGCATATAAAGTGGACATTCAAACAGTGAGACTGCAAACATTTCTGTTCAATGATCCAACAAAAACTCAATAATGGTTATCTATCTTATACACTTTTTTTTTTTTAATTTTATTTAAGGAGAAAAGAGAAAAAAAGCAGTGAAAGGGTACAAGTTATACAGATTTACAGAAAAAAAATGAACAGTAGGAAATCACTAGTTAATGGATTACATATTGTCATCTTAGAAATAATTATTCAAGTCACAAAATTAAAGCTTGTAAAGTGGACATTCCATCAATGATACTGCAAACAGTTCTGTTCATTGATCCAATAAAACTCTGTGATATCATTTTCTATCTTATACACTTAAATATACATGCAGTTATATAGTTTGGAGCACTTTCTTTTCCTCTCTTTTGTACCATGACTATTACACATTTTGGGTTTCATTGCTCCCACGGTTCTTATTACTTTTTTGGAAGAGAGTAAAACCAAATGTGACATAACAGAACAGAATCGGTCAAGTCAAAAGGGTGGACATAATAGATAATGTAAAAACATAATACAAGGTGATCAACAATGGTTACTATAATGCCTCCTGCTATCTCTAATAGAATTGCCTATATCGCTAGTTATAATACAATTGAACAAAACAGTAAAGAATAAAACCGACAAAACCAAAACATTGGAGACATTGTAGGTCTTCAAAAGTAGATAAAAGTCAACAAGAATAGGCGTCATAATGAATCTCATTATCTTCACAGCTGATGCCTAAACTTTCGAACCTGATACTATCCAGCAAAACAGAATAGGGGAACATCAGTTAAAAACCAGATGGTGAGAGTAATACAGGGCTTTAAATCAAGGTAATAAAAAGTCAAAGTGGGTTACTATAATATATCCTGCTATTTTTTTCCTTTAATTAAAAGGATAAAGATAAAAAAGTAAATAATGGAGTGGAGATTGAGATAAAAGAGGGCATAACAACGAAACAGCGCAGATCAAAACATAACCATTTAAGCAGAATAGTGTTTCACCACCAGATAATCCTAACCTAAAAGTAGTTACCATATTGTCTTTCTTTGAAATCCTTGAGTACAACTTCATATACTGTAGCATTAAGTATATCAAAGCAATGTAAAACCATTCAAGAGAATGACAGCATTACAGAGTATTTAGAATCGACTAACAGGAAATGAATAATGGTTTCTGTATAATCTCCTTGTCTTTACAAGGTTTTTGCTTATAATATCGTACATAATAAAATCCAGTAAGATACAACCTATTTAGACCATTGGAGACACAAGGACAAAAGCTAGATGAGACTTCAAAACAACATGATACGAAATCAGTATTACCTATTAAGATGTCATTTTCTCCAAAATAGCTGTTCCTATCATCCAATCTTCTCTGCCTCATTTCTGTTGAGCTCTTTTTCTGTCAGTAGCTGTCAGTTTGTCTTCTTCATTTTGTTCTCTGCTCCATTCGTTGTGGCCTCTCTGCCATTATTTCTGGATTCTTTGTATTTTTCTTTTTTTAGAATATCCTGCAATACTCTCTGGAGAGTTGAATTGGTGGTTGCAAATTCCCCCAGTTCCTCTTTATCCTGGAAGCACCTTGTTTTTCCATCAATTTCCAGGGACAGTTGTGCAGGATATCTCAATCTTGGCTGGAGATTATTATCTTTCAAAACTTGAATTATTTCCCCCCACGCTCTTCGTGATTTGATGGTTTGTGAAGAGAAATCTGCTGTAATTCTGATGGGTGTTCCCTTGTAAGTGGTCTGTTTCTTGTCTCTTACAGCTTTTAATATTCTGTTCTTGTATTGAATTTCTGGAATTTTGATTATTATATGCCTGGGTGTTGCTCTGTTTGGGTTGTAGGTAGCTGGGGTCCTGTATGCCTCATACATCTGAGTATCTTTACCTTTTGCTAAATTAGGAAAATTCTCCTGGATTATTTCTGTGAGTAGCTTTTGTAGTTCACTTGTTTGTGTCCCTACTTCTTCTTTTATGTTCTTAATCCTTAAGTTATGGATCCTCTTATCATCTTCTTGTCTTTGTATTATTGCTGTTTGTTTCTTTGTTATTTTTAAGAAGTTTTTCATTTCATTCTCCCATATTACAAGTCTGCCCTCCAGTTCAGATAGTCTGTCCTTAGTTTCTTTCAAGCTGTTATGCCAGTCTTCTATGGACTTCTTGGTATCTTGGTAGTCCCTTTGAACCTGCTTCACGTATTCTATGCTTTCTCTGTTTTCTCCATCAAACAATTCTCCCCTTTTTTTTCTGCTCTTCCATTCCACCGCCTGTTTTTTCTTGGGTGGTACTTAGCATTTCTCTAACTATTCTGCATACTTCTAGCTTCAGGTCATTGATAACTTCATTCCTGAATTGGTCTATGAGGCTGTCTATATGGTGCTTAATGTATATTGGTGCGGTGTCTGCTA